GCTCGTACCTGTTTTTACCGGATCTTTTTTCGGTCTCCGCACGTCTCGAACTTACCTTTTCTTTTTGAAGTCATGGAACAGTATCTTCTTCTATCCTCAGTTTCGTGCTATACCTGTTGCAAACGTCATTCCACGTTGTAGCTGAGAATTCACGAAGGCTTTCTTTGAGTCACCTCGTAGCTTTTGAGCTTTTTTCATTCAAATTGCTTGTGAAAGCTATAGCTGCCCAATTATCTGGTACACGTGGTAATGTCATTCTTTCACGTTGGAATCTGTCCACGAACTCTCTAAGCAATTCTGAGTCCCCTTGCTTGATCTTGAAAATATCTTCCATTCTTTTTTCGACTTTTTGAGCTCCTGAGTGTGCTTTAATGAAAGAATCTGCAAGCTCAACAAAAGAATTTATAGAAATTTCGGGTAAAAGAGAATACCATATTAATGCTCCCTTGGTGAGTGTTCACCGAATTTTTTGACTAATACTGATTCAATCTCTTGCTTGGTCAAATCGTTGCCTTTTACGCCTGTTGTGAATGCAGTCATGTGGTCTCGTGGGTCTGTTGTTCCATCATATTTTGGAATATCAGGCATTTTGAATTTCTTTGGAATTGGGAAGGGAGCAGCACTTGGCTTCCAGGGTTACTGTAAATATTTATCCATATCTACCCCTTTGATTACGGGCGGCACCCCGGGTATTTGCTCTATGCGGTCATTTTGCTCCTTGAGCTGTTTCTGTAATGTTAGTACTTAATTTTGTAAATCAGAATTGATTAAATTACCTGATTCTCTCTCCTGTGGTTCACTGAGAGTTCCACCGCTACCTGAGTTAACAAGCCCGGAACGAGAGTTCTCCAAAGTGTTGTTATTTAGAGTGGGTGTGGGTGTTGCAGCAGGTAACTGGTTAACAAATGCCTCAAGAGCTTTATTGACATGTGCAACAATTAGTTTTTGCAAAGCTTCATCGATAGCCTCAGCATTTTCAAATTGAGTGTGTCCATTCGTATGAGACCCCTCAGGAGTGCCCTCACGAGACCACAAAGGAGAATCTCTTGGAGAAGAGACCAGGGTGTTAGTATTCTGTGGATCACTCTGATGTTGTTGGTTTTCTCGGTTTCCTTGAATGTCGCCATTGTTGTTCGACATGGTTGATACAACAAGAGAAGTTAAGCTAAAAGAGAATAGATTATCAGATTCCCGGTAACGGAACCAATTTGTTTAACCAAAAAATGGGATTTCGGTCAAAGCTTTAATTTAGAAGAACTCGGGTTACTGATAATCAAAAGAATTTATGAAAGAAAGTAATTTGGCTAGCAATAATATAATCAGAAGAAAAACAAGTAAATCAATATATTCAGATAGTATTTCGTCTCCTCACAATTGATCAGTTATCTCCCTTTTATAGCTATTTGGGAGATATGTGTTTTGCCCTTGTCATAATAAGGCTATTATGAGTAATTAAAGACATTTAATGCTACGTTACACAATCATTGTATTTAATAAAGATTTTCTAACGTATTCAGTATTTAATGCTCACTAAATACTATATATGTACTCTCATATATTGTCAGATTCATTCCCCTTGATTCCTGGACCTAAATGACTTAAATAGATACGGGCGCCGAGTCCTTTGAATATCTGCCCGTGCCTCTTCCTTTGTCTTTGCTCGTATCTGTTGCAACTCGTGTCTCTTTGCCAGCTGTAACTCTTTCACTAGTCTACGTGTCTTGACACGTCATCTTTATTCCACTTTAATATGTAAACTCAATTTTTCCCAATACAGATAGAGGGACGGGACCACATTTCTGTTCTTTTCTTAAGGAACATAAATGTGTTCTTAACAAAACTTCTGTTGTATGCAAGACCAATTTGTAGAGAACAAAATTCTGGTCATACTTCAGTTTCATCCCCCATAGAGGATTTGGAAAAAATAGCACGAGCCATGTATAGAAGTGTAACAAGAAAATAGCAGTTAGTTTTCCCAGTATGCTTACATGTAACAAGCTAGGACAATATGAAAAGGAAAGGTCCGAGAAGGTTAAGCTATTACCGGAAGGGTAAAAATTCATGACGACCAGAACTTTTGAAATGGCGGGGGCCTTCAGGATTACTTTTGCATTGCTCCCAACGGTTAAAGCAACCAGCAAGATACGTACCTTGTTGAGCAGCAACCTAGCATGTGAAGATAAATGAAACTACAGCAAAACATGGAATGAAATGAGAGAGGGGGGGGGGGGGGGGAAAGAGGGG